GGCCTGCTCGGTCACTTACGAATCCATCGCACAGAGACGGACGAACCAGTACTTGGAGCACCAACCCACACCCGCCGCATTCGCCTCCACTGTCCACACGGTCTCCGTGCATTTACTCACCGCATGGGTCTATTCGGTCACATGCGTATCCACAAGAGCGAAAGTGAGCAGTCTCGACACACCTAGGACCTGCACATCAAGCATGCATAGCTTAACCCACACCCCGCTGCCCAGCGTGTCCACCATCAGCAGCTCCACCACTACCGCCATCTCCCAAACCGACACTGACACCGCCAAATTGTCCTGTCCACGCCGTCCCCGTACATCCACCTCACACACCAGCCTGATCGGTCACTTGCGAATCCATCGCATAGAGATTGGCGGACCAATGTCTGGAGCACCAACATACACCAGACGCATCCGCCTCAACTGTTCTCACTGCATATACACATTCACCCGCCGCATGGGCTTATTAGGCCACATGCTCATTAACGAAAACCTGCGGCTAAACTACTGCTGGCTAAACTACACCATCACATCTTCCTCTACCTACATCAAGCAACGTCATCCACCACAAGCATCCAATTGCAACCTCCCACGCAAGTGGGAAGTGCACGTCTCGGCTCCGTCTCCGTGCGGTTTCGCTGCTGTATGTGTGATCCGAGTCTGAGGCTATTAGGGCGCGTCAAGCGCTGTGGCTCGCAAGACTGCTGACTGACGCCCCAACTCAATCCACGCAGTCTGCCCAGTTGTGTGTGTGTATGTGTGGAGTGGCGGACTGGTGGGCTGAGAGCCAAGCTGAAGCGGCTCCTTCTCAACGTGCCCTACGGCAGTCTCACGCATGTGAGATGTACGCCGTTCAACCCCCGTTGTGTGAAATCCTGACGCCTGCGTTTGGGGGGCCAGGTCGTGCATGTGGCGCGCGCAGACAAGGTCACCGGATATGTCAGCCACCGCGCCCATTCCCCGCACCTGTCAACTGACCGGCTTGGGCAGTAACTGGGACCTGGATTGCTCAGCGCATCTTCCTCACTATAAACAACCTGACGCGCTTGAAGCTAAAACGGTTCGCTAAAAGCCATGGCTTGGAAGGTTGGCAACTGACGGTCAAACTTGGACCTTGCAGTTGGCCCAGTGTTGTGTGTTTGTGTGGAGGGGACGACTGGTGATCTAAGAGTCAGGCTCCAATGGCTCCTTCTTAATGTGGACTTAATGGCACTCCCGCTGTGCGGGATCTGAGCCAGCCCCCATTATGTTTTGTCGTTGTTTAAAATTTACGGTCAATTGCTGTGTGATGCAGGAGGTGTGGAGTGGATCGCCAAGGTGCGGGCCACTCACCCGCGCCCTCCCTCACCTCCGGTCCTCTTGGGTTTATCTTGACACCGGACCCGGGTGGAGGAGGAGAGACGGTGGTAGATGCTGTGCAAGTCTACCATCACTATGACCTAGAATTTCGATCAAGTCATCGTCTCTGCCCCAGATTGCTGTAGAACACACGGTGGACATCGTCGGCAACGACGGTCGGGCTGTCTTTTTCAGTCACAAGTTCTGGCCGATCTTTGGTTGGGTGGGAGGATTAACAAGCCAGAGCCAACAGCCGTTAAAGTCCACGCCTTTTTTTATCGACACCTCTCTGCTGTTTTCGGTCGTTTGTCCATTCTCTTGTCTCCTCTGAAGGTGCTTTCATTTTCAGCCTAAAATCATGCCAGTATATTTTCTACCACATGTTCTCTATGGTCTTAGTCTTGTGAGGTTTTTTTAGTCAAGCGAACCCCATCTAGTAAATGCGCATTTTTTGCACTTCTTTTTCGCCCCTGTGCGTCCTACCATAGCACTATTGGACCAAAGCGAACCCGTTTCCCATCAACTACGAACAGGTCTGTCCCCTATGGGGTTCAATAATGGAGCAAATGTTGCACTCGGCAAAGTTCGATATGCGGTTAGATGCCTGCCAAGAGTAAGTATCTGAGGAAATTATTTGGAGTCAAGATTTTTTTGCACAGAAGTCCGCGTGTATTTCTTTAATTCTTACTTTGCTGTGCTCTTCCACCACCTCCTTCGCAGGCGATCCCAGTGTTGCTTTGGTTGTGGCCC